TAAGGAAGAAATTCTTTACAATGAGGGTGGTGAAACACTGGAACAGGTTGCCCAGAGAGGTGGTGGAGGCCCCATCCCTGGAAGCATTCAAGGCCAGGTTGGATGGGGCTGTGAGCAACCTGATGTGGTTAGCGGTGTCCCTGGTCCTGCGGGGGGGTTGGAGTAGATGACCTCTAGGGGTCCCTTCCAACCCAAAACATTCTATGATTCTATGATTCTAATATTTTATAATAGAGCATGGCCAACACTGATTACTTTGACTTCAGCAAATGCTCTCAGAGCAGTTCAGAAATATTAAAGCAACATTAACACGGCGGCCAGCAAAGGGAAGTGGGGGTTTCTGCAGGCGTGCTATGTGGGACACAAAATATGGTCCTGCCAGTGGGGTGGCAGATCCTAGGAGCATTCATCATCTACACATGCTCTCGAGTCACGCAAGTGGAGTTTGAAAAAGCAGCCTATTCTAGCAAACGTAAGCAAAACACATCTCCCCTTTCCATGTGATTCTTGATAGCCAGGGAATAATTTACGCTGCTCTTTTCTGTATTAAGAGACTGTTGATTACAGGGGCTGTGCTGGCCAGCAAAGCATCTGTGAAGACACATTGGAATGAAAACACTCGGGGCAAGAGGGTAACGAACTCTGGTATCCTTGCCGAGTAGGATCACTCTACAGTCACCACCATCCATGCTACAAATAACTATGTGTAACAACACTGACCGCTTTGATGAATTTTCATCAGTCTTTAAAGCTGGTATGGCCGAAAGACAACACTATTATTTGAGAAGCCCTATTTAAGCCTGATGCCATGAGCAAGAAAGCATTTGCCATCGTACCGCAACCCTGCAATCCCTCTCACACAATTAATGATGTATTTCTGTAGCACGAAATCGATTTCATCCGTCACACTTAATAGTCCAACCTGCATTCCTCCTACGTGCTCCAAGACCCACGTCAATCACCCCTGCAGAGCAGGGCTCTCCTCCTCCCCCCGAGCCTGCCCCATTTACTGTACCTCCACTTGTTGGATTACATCCTCGGTGTCTCCTATCTCAGAGGTCGATACGGATGGGTAATTGGAATCGGACTCCAAACTGCTCTGGTTGGATGGGTTCCTTCTGTGCCCCGGTGCTTGCTGCCAAGGAGCAATGCAGACACATAACACATACAGTGTTTACGGAAAGATTCCTCACAAAGCATTGTCGCTTAGAGAAAATATGCGTCTGTATATTAAGGTTAGCTTTACAAAAGGTTTGACTGTCACCTTATAGTGAATTTAATTTCCTAGTTCTTATGCCCTACCATAACTTTCATATTAATGCAAGGGAATAGTTTAAAATGTGAAGTGATACAGAAGCTCGGTTGAAAAATTCTGCACGAATTAAAGGCTCTTCATGACACCAGATGCCTGTTAAGTACAAACATGCAAATCTGAGCTCAAGATTATGCTGTTCACAGCACCCTCTGGGACTCCCTTTAAACGTTCAACTGTCCACCTAATCCAGCAGCACTTCAACAATTATCTACTTTTCAGCAGATCTTCTAAGACTTCAGCAAAGGTGAACCTAAAAAATTTGGCTTTTGAAATTCTGAAGCCATGTTGTTGGGGTTTTGGGGGGGTTTGTTTTTTAATCCAACACTTACACATGAACATCACTGAAACAAAAAGCAACACAGAAAGCACGAACCAGGTTCTGCTGAGATTCACAGATATCTCTAAGTAGTGAACTGAGAAGCGTGACAGATCGGGCTCCCTTTTCAAGGCACACATATGGTTTGGTTTCAGCGTACAAGTTCAGTCTTAGAAATATCAAGCACAAACTGCATGATAATGCCAGTTCTATTAAGTGTTTTGGGGATGAGCAAGCCACGTTATCCAGCCACCAACATCATGTCCAGGACACAACAGAACAGGGATAATTTCAGTTTCGTTACCTTTATAATAGTCATTTCATCCCGCAAGTTGTCATATCTCTGCTCCAGCCTCGAATACTCTTTTACCAGGTTCTGGTAACGAGACCTCTCTTCTTCCAGCTCTTTCTTCATCTGTATATTTTCCTCAACCGTGTTTCGTGCAAATTCATCTTTAAAGTAAGGAAAAAAAAAAAAAGAGAAAAGAAATTATGATCTTCATCTCTAAAGTCAACTTCTTGTAAATATGTGCAATAACAATAACTAATTAACAAAATGCTCTCTGCCAAGAAGCTTTAAAATACATATAAGCATTCTCTAATATTTAGAGACTATTATAACCTAGATCTGTCTCCTCGCCATTTGGAACAGCTTGAGTTGTTCTGCTTGGAGAGCAGAGTCCTCTGCCATTTGAGTTATAGGAAAATCTCCAGCACCTACAAATCATCAGATCTATTATGTTTAACTCAACTGTGCCAGCTCCAGCTCCCATGGGCCAGCCATAAACTCACTTAAGAAAAGACCAGCACAGTTCAGAAATACATTAATGTTTAAGAATTGGTACTCGCTGCATATAAATGAGGGTGGTGAAACACTGGAACAGGTTGCCCAGAGAGGTGGTGGAGGCCCCATCCCTGGGAACATTCCAGGCCAGGTTGGACGGGGCTGTGAGCAACCTGATCTGGTTCAAGGTGTCCCTGCTCCTGCAGGGGGGTTGGGCTGGGTGACCTCTAGGGGTCCCTTCCTACCTGAAACATTCTATGATTCTATAGAATCATAAACGAATGATAAAGACTTCTCTGCCCACTTCCCACCACCAGATTTGAAATAGGAGCAAATCAACAGCAGCATCTCTTTCTCATGTCACCATCAACCAGTTACCATGATAAGACCATAGGGGTTGAAATTATCCAATAAATTCTTTTGTTGTTGTTGTTGTTGTTAAAAACTCCCTTTTGGAAGCAAACCTGGTCCCTCCACTTTTTTGAGAAACCAGTCAAATACAGTCCATGTGTCCTTTTAAATGGGTGAACACAAACCAAACCCTCCCTCCATTTGCTTTCCCCAAGCTCTGATGCTCTGAAAGCATCCCATAAGAGATGAAGAAATATTTGCAGCAAGTTTCTTTTTAACATGTTATTTTCATTCCTTTATTTTGCATCGGGCTGAGAGCAAAAGCTACTTCATGAGTACCACAGAGCAGCGATAGGTACATCCACAGAATGATGCATGATACTCTTTGTAAATCCTGCAACAAAAGCTGAAAAGGATGATAAAAAAAAAAATACAAAAGCTCGATACACATGTGCGAGTTTTTGTGGCTTGGGATTTTCCCAGTTGCTTTCATCTACGTATGTCTCACCACTTAAGTCTGTGCTTTAAAAAACACTCACAGACTCCTGTCACATTAGAGAAACCCTTTGGCACAGCTCGATATTGTTAACTGTGCTGTTCCTTGGATCCTTTCTTCATCAATCCTGGGCCACGGTTGTGCTCTACCCTCCGCCCCCCGCAGCCTCGCTGCCTCCCACGTCACCCGGAGTAAATGCTGCAACGTAACTGAACTAAAAAGCCCTTTTGGGTACTTTATTCCATACTTCACCAATCAAACCAGCCTCTGTTTTGCCATCCAGCAGCAGGACAGCATGAACAGACCCATCTGCACAGCAAAACCAACAACAAAAACATCCAGGGAAGGGGCGTGGGAGGATCAGCACTTTTCAAGGTAGGAAAAGCATGCAGGAAAAACAAGTTTGAGGGGCGAACAGTTAAGCTCCTCGTTTAGTGGAGGCATTACAAGGCTATAAGCATTTTTTCTTACCTTCAGATTGACAGAGGATCCTGCTGTTAAGCTCCTCTTTCTCCTGCTTCAGGAGAGCGTTTTCTTCTTCCAAGTCAGATATGCGCTACGGAACAAGGCAAAGAATTACCCCTCTGCAGAGGGATTACATTTCACCTGGCTGGAGACAGGGAGCTTTGTTCAGTCTTTCTTTGCTGTTTAAAAGATCTGTCCCCCTGTGCTTTGCCAGTTATTCTTTGTGCAACGGGAGTTGAAGAGCAGGAGAACCATGCTGCAACAACAGAGACTAACTTTTCTTTTCCTGGGTGCATTTCTCCCTTAAATTAATGTTTTTAGCAGAATCTTACAAAGTGAGCTGGCGACCGCGATCTGCAGGAGTGAAACTCTTACAAGTGATCAGGTCGTGAAATCAGAGATTTATTTCCACATCTCAGTGGGCTTCATTGCTATCCTCGAGTCATAGCACTAACTGCTGTTGGGGGGGAAAAAAAAAAGTCTGCTGATTGTTTCAGGCAATGTGGCACTTAACTAAAGATGGACATAGCTAATGTGAGCACCATGGAAGACTAATACTGAATAGTTCAGGCTTTTTTAACTTCATGGGCAATGTACCCACTTCATGTAGTGAGATTATAGCCACTTTAGTGCTTCACACTACTGCAGAACTGCTAGTACCATGATGCACAGCGTATACCGAGGCTTTTGGTAATACAACAGGAGCATATATAGCAATTAACACTAATAATTGCCTAGCAAAAATTAACAAAATCAGAAACTAAATCCTGCAAAATAGTACTCTTACTATTTTTTAACTACCTCTTTATTAAAAGCAAAGGGAAGCAAAGCTACTTGTCACACCAATAAGGCTGGACTGATGCTGACACCAACCTATCCTGCAATTTTGTTCAACCTCAGGAACTTGGAGGCATTCAACGGCGTTCTCTCAAAACACAAACCCATCACATTATCAAGCAAAATATGCTGCTACGGTTAAGCAGGGTGATTCTGCTGCTGTCAGGTAGGAGAACAAACCGACACATCACCCCAGCGTAACGTTATTCCCTCAGCCTGCTCCATCACATCCTGTAGCCACGGCTTAGAAAACAGCTACACACAGCAGAAGGATCTCAAGATGCCAAAGATAAACAACACTGCACACACACACCCCCCACTAAAAGTTTTCAGTGCCCAAGAATAATAATTTTGCTGTCACCACTAGATAAAATTTATAGGCAGCCCAGCTGGCATGCATGCCTAGCACAGACTTCAGTCTTCCACACAAGCATCCTCAAAATCGAGGTATTTTATCAAATACTGCATACGCCAGATACATAATAATAGTGAGGGTAAAAGCAGGATGAATATTTTACTGTAAGTCACGACTGAACCAGTCATATCCCATGCACAGAAACTGGAAGATCCCACTACCCCTTGCTCTCCAATCCATTTATTCACTCCAGCATGAGGCTATAATCTCCTGCATGCCGATGTATAGTAGGAAAGTTGGACACTGGAAATACAACTAGAAAGTGAAGAAAACACAATTTAAGGTACACAGAACTACTGGTGTTTTAAATGCTCTGAACTGAGCCATGATTTTAATATTCTGTACCAAAGCCACATACGTTCCTTCATTCGTATATCACTTCAAATAAATATCATAGCAGACATGCAGCCATTAGATCAGCGCTAGAGTCGTCAAGTTCGGAAGAATTCTTAAAAAAAATTGGGTAAGAACCACAAAAGTGATAGAAGGGAAGGAAAATCTGCACTGCAATGGGACAGCGAGGAGCTCGACTCGTTTATCCCATCAGGGAAGATTAGGGGTGATGGCATTATTTCGCTAGTGCTCTTTAATGGGTGCTGATAACAAACTCTTCTGCCCAGAAAAGAAAGTTATGATGGTTGAAAAACAAACTAGACAAAAAAATTGGAGTATCTTCAACTGCACAGGGGTTATATTTTAGAACTGAAAGACTTGGTAGAATCCGCAATGATTATTCCCAGGTTTAAAAATTTCTAATCCAGATTTGATATAGATATTCTTAAAATACAACCTTAAGCGACTGAGGTTGTTTATCGCATTCGTGTTGCCATATGAAATAGAAACAAGCTGGAATTCAACATTTGTGTTCACAGAAAACCAGTGAGAATGGAAACAGTCCATTAAACACAGGTAGAGGCAAGCGGAGCAGGTTACACAACGGCCAAGCAGCACAAACTCAAATCTCTGGTACCTACATTGCTGCCTTTTGCATCCCATGCTCATCTTTCTATAGGAAACATCTTTAAAGGTGCTTCAAATGCAACAGCACCTGCTTTGAAGGATTTCTGTGGAAGATGTTGAGCAGTGAGCACTTGTGATGGCTTCAGTTCTAGGGCCAGCCTTGTTTAATATCTTTATGAATGATCTGGACAAGGGGATCGAGGGCACCCTCAGTCACTTTGCAGACAACACCAAATTGGGGGGGGACTGTGGATCTGCTGGGGGGGAGGAGGGCTCTGCAGAGGGACCTGGCCAGGGTGGAGCCATGGGGCCAGGCCAACCG